AAAAATTAATTATAAAAAGTTATTCGAATTTAATGGAACCTTTATTTAAATCAACTATTATTTTTCCATGTTCTCCTAATTGTTGATATTGTGTGTAAAGTTCATTAATGCTCATTGGTAAATTCACTTGATAAAGCATAACGTTCAACTGTTGACGACTAAAACCACTGAAAATGAAAAGGGTGGACATGTTTGATTTAATGTTTGTGCTTAATGCTTTGAAGTATTGAACAGCCATGAAGAATGAACACTGAATGTGTCGACATTGAGTTAATAATTGATTAAAATATGATTTCTCATTTGTTATTAGTTTTGATTTCACCGCATCATCTAGAAAAATGAGTGAATGCAAAAATTCTCTATCAAAATTTGAAATAGAAAGTGTTTCAAATAATTCATCCCGTTGTTTATCAATAATTTTATCCTCTAATCCTTGCTTCTTGATTGTATTATATAATTCTTTATACATTAAAAAGTTTTTTAAATAATCTTCTGCTTCTTCTTGTGATAAATAAATAATTGGATTTTGATTAAATGCTTTAAAGATTCAAATGTATCATCTGAAGGTGAACCTGAACGGTTGATATAAATTAACACATGTGAATAGGGTGAAGTGTTAGCAATAATGATAATTTGTTTTAATATCGTTAATGTTTTACCTTTATTTTGTTTACCAATTGCTGCAGTGATTGAATTTAAGTAACATTCAGAATATGGAATTTTCATTAATTTTTCCTTAGATAGAGCATTTCTATTATCACTCAATGCTTCATTAATCATATCATCTACGTATGTATTATATACTCCTGCTAATTCTTCATAAGGGGTGGATGAATTTAAATCCATTTAATCAAAAATAAATTTATAATTTTATACATTTCTATTCATCAATATTTTCATCATATGAACTTCTATACTGCGGTGGTGTACCTGTTGGATGATATTTCAAACTTCATCCGGTGTCCATGTCCAATATGTAGTCCTAGTAAACCAAACCTGAGGAGGATTTGTCACCTTTGAACAGTAAGTGTCATTTTCACCCTGAATGATTGGATAAGCTTTCACTTGTACTGTAACTTGTGAATTGAAAGTTTCTAATCCATCAAAGAATATACCCGCTCCATCAACGTTGAACTGGAATAGTGCATAAGAATGAAGTTTGGTCTTTCCATGTTCTAGCTAATGGTGTGCCATTATCATCATTCAATGGTCTAGTTAATGAGTCCTCGTATTCTTCTGTGCATTCATTCACTCCATCTAAATCAGAAGCTTGAAGCATACGTGTAAAGAATATGTCGCCCACTGTGGTCATCGCTTGATCGGGGAAGTTTTGGAATCTATAGTGACCTGAAGACCTCGAAGCATTGGATTTTCTAAAACTGTTCTTTGCATTGCATTCTTCGGAAATGCTAACACAACATCTGTAACATTATGAAGAGCGTATGAGAAATCTGAGCTGATACCTTCAGAGTGATGCAACCTCCATTTAGTGAACGAACGTCAATATGTTGAGCTGGAATCATGAATGGATCTTCCTTACTGAATAAACGTGGTATTGCTTTAACTGATTCTTCAATTAAACCGTATCCTGGTGTAATGCATTTATCCTCTAAAACTTCCATCTTTGTGCATGAAATAATAACGTCTCAACTGTTGCGTCAGCAGATGTAGCGGCTAAGCTTGTAATTAATTTGGCAGGAAGTCCGATTTGTTGGAATTTTGCGATCATATTTATAAACATGATTCATAATCTTTTCATAATTTTCATCAGTTATCTTTTCATAAACATAATTTTGTAAAATCAGCAACTCTTAACGGGTCAACCTGACAAAATACTAAAGTATCCCTGAAACATAATATTTAAGAATGATTTCACCAAATGATTTAGGATAATCATCGAACGCCTGAAATGCTAACAAATCATTTACCGGAATAATCATATCAAAAGTGACATCAACTTCTTCATTTGCTTTCTTGAAAACTTCTGAGGGGTCAATATATTTACCACATACTGAGTTATCATATTTTTGAACATTATTATATAACGAATGAACAAACTTTTTAACTTTCCTTTCTGATTTTGGTTTATATGTTGCAAATGCGAAAGATTTCACGGGCGCAATCCATCTGAAGATAACCGGCATCACCTCTTTCGGTTTCTACTTCTAATTGCTTAAAGCTTTGATTTGATGATTTGTAACCAACGAATAAACGCATGCATTTAAAAGTGGCTCACATGTGAAAGCTTTATTTGAAACTAGAGTTGCTTTAACTTTGCGTTTAATATATGTGTCCTAATTGGTTTCACATCATGAGCCGGATTTGTAATTCTTAAATGAGTTTGTTTATCATCAAAATATGGAGTATCAGAGTCATAGCAATGAACTTTCAAGTTCTCTATAATATCTTCTACCGTCATTCTTTGCGAATATTTCATTTATCTTTTCGAATGAATGAAATACATTTCCATTAATTGGTTTAGTGTTTGGCACTAAATAGTTAGTCGTCATTTATTATTAAATAAAAAATCAAAATTAAAAGATGAAAATGAATTTTTAATTTTAATGAAATAATCAACTATGGCTGCAGGATTCTTTAAGAAACTGTGGGATAAAGTAAAAAGAGGAGCGCATAAAGTTTGGGAAACAATGAAGAAAGGAGCAAATTGGATATTTAAGAATAAAGAAGCAATTAGTGACGTTGCTGAATCAATAACGCCAAAAGCTGCCCCAATAAGAGAAATTTTAAATAAAGGAGAAAAAGTTTATCAAAGACTTCAACCGATACTAAGATAAAAATATATTTATTTATTTTTCCACTAACCACCTCCTATTTTATTAAGTATTCCTTCAGCTATTCCACCAATTGCGTTACCTGCTTGTGCTCCCATTGCCGGATTACCTGCTTTAGTACCTAATACTCCACCTATGATAGTTCCTGCCGTTTTCGCTACTGGTGCCAAAAAGTTAGCAACAGGTTTAATAACCTTTTTATAAACCCAACCTGCAGCTTTCTTAATTCCATCCCATAATTTTTTAAAGAATCCTGCCGCCATTTCTGATTTAATATTAATTAAAAAATATATTTCATCACTTATATTCTAATTTTTATTTAATGATAAATGAAACCGATTTTAAAAATAAATGAAACAAAGGAGGAAGAAATAAATGAAAGTGAAAATGTTCAACAAAAAATAAACGTTGTTAAACCAATTACTGAAATAAAAATTTTTTCATCTGTTGAAGAATTTAATGACTATTATGCTAATAATAAAAAATTATTTGAAGAATTGACAACGTGTAAATTGAATAAAATGTTTAAAGTTGAGGACAGAGTCCAAGACCCAGAGGGTCATGGATTCAAAATTTCAAAAATAAAAGGTGTTGTTAGTTTAAAATCTATTCCTCAATCAAGAATCACCTCATTAATGAAAATAGATGATTTAACAAAAAGAATAGAAATTATTGAAGAGCGAATGAATCAAATAATTGCTTTCATAAATCATGACTCGTTGAGCCCGGGTCCTTAAAGCCCAAGGCACAAAGTGCCCAGGACTTAAAGTCCATCACTGAGTTCAAGGTTATATTCATCAAATATTTCATTATTAAATGCAACTTCTGCTAGTTTATTTATTTTTCAATACGATCATTTGAAAGTCTATCGTTTAATTTTTTCTGAAGTTTTTCATTTTCTAGTTCTGAAACTTTATTTGGATGATATTTAAACCCGTTAAATTCTTTTTCCTCAGTTTTGATCATTAATTTACAAAGAACTTTTGTGGTTGGAATTCGTTTAAACCATTTATCATTAATATTTGTTATAAATTCAATATCTGGAATTAATTCCCAAATTTTTGCATTTTCAATTAATTTATTATCAAATGCAAAAGCAATAGGTTTAATATTAAACTTACCTTTATAATATAAACTTTCTACATAATCATCGAAATAAACATCTACTTGTTTAACATTTTCAAGAATTGGTGAAAGAACATCCATTAATTGATTGACGGTTACGAATCTTGATCCACTCATTTTCATACGAATTAAAAAAATAAATTATTCAAAAAATGTAAGACATGAATTTTTAAAGTTTATTTTTCATTCATGAATGATAATTATATCTGATTTCTTTTATTCTCTCGTACATACTAGATTTGAAGAATTCGGAACTTTTACCATAATCTCCTAAATGTTTTCTTATCCCAACGTGTGCCAGTTATTATATGAAACTGAATAAACTTTATCTTTATCTTTACACCTTTCATCACTTCCAATATATTTATATCTCAGTTTTGATTTTGCATTTTCATAATCATTAACGTTTAATAATTCACAGTCTTCCTTTTTAAATTGATGTTTAAGATATTCAGGATTTAATACTCTACGTTTATATGCTCCTAACTTAGTTCTAAAGGTTTTTCTACAAAATTTAGGAATTCCATCCTCTTTAATGTCATCAATGATTTCCATTTCATTATTTTCAATTTCTTCTTCTCGTTTATGAGGTCTTTGATTATGACTCCATTGATTCCATGAAATTAAATATTCTTTATCATTATATTTATACCTCATTAGCTTATTTTGGCTTTCATATTCATTTAATAATTCACAATCTTCATTTTTAAATTGAAGTTTAACCCATTCAGGATTTAAACAATGTTTAATTAATCGCGGAATATCTGACATCATCTATATATAGCTTCTTTTATAAAAGATAAAAAATAAATTATTTTAAAATTAATGTTAATTTTTTTAATGATTTATAAATAAATATATTTTAATGCATCGTCTATATATAGATGCAACAAAAAAAGTCACACAACCCGCACTCATATACTACTATACATAATAAATCTTTATACATAGTAACCCCCTCATTTTTAATCACGAAAGCTAATCTACTCCTCCAAACTATATCTAATATCAAAAAAATTTATATTATAAAAAAAATTTAAAACATTTATAAGTTGAAAAATAAAAATATACATTATAATACATCTACTCTAGCTTGTGATAGTGGAGACGCCTTCTTTCGACGATTGATTGAACAGTTCCAAGGAGAAAAATCGCTGCGAGAACTGCGAAAATTGACAAAAATAAAATTAAAGCAACTGGACCTTTTCTGTGGAAATCATCGTAAAGATTAGTAATAAAACCAATGAATCCGCCACCAGGACCTGCAGCACGTCTTTTACCACTCTGTACTTCGTTTATCCAGTTAATAATCTGAGATGATTCTAATTCATCCTTGTAATACCATTCGTAGTGTTTTTTCGGATTGTTTATAATGATCTGTGGTCCATTCCCTGTTTGTATGAGGAGATCGAGACAGAATTTCGGAAATGAAACGCATCTGAAATGAATTGCTCTCATTTCGAGCTTGTTTTCTGTAACAATTCGAGTAAAATTGTCTACGAAATATGGCTCTTCGTCGGCAAGTAGTAAAACGTTGTAATTGTTTGTGATGGCGTGCTCAAAGAAAAGAGCTGAAAGAGGAGAGATCGGAGGGAATGCGTACTTGTTAATAAAGATTTTGAGAAGCTCTGTTTCGTAAGGGCCGTCGTAAATTGTCGAAATATTTGTTGAAGGATTAATATTGAAGAATAATGAGTCTTCTGTATCTTCTTTAAGGGTGAATTTGAGATTGGCGAAGATTGTTGGATAATTCTTAAATTTGAAGACAATATCTGAAATTTTATCTGAATCACCATGATCTTTGGCCTTTTGATACACAAATATCGAGTTATCCTTGTAAGTAGTCAGTAGATTCTCATATTGACTGATGTTTTGCACTTCTACAATCAATTCTCCCAAATGTTTCTCAATAAATGAGATAATGCTTGGTAAATCTAATGTACCGAAGTATCCTTCGGCTCTATCTGGCGAATCAATAACCCAATATAAGCCAGGAGTAAAACTATCTGGGAATTTTTTGCAAATATGGTTAAAGTTATCGCAATTTATGCGTACAAGACCGAATCTCGAATCTCCATCGTACTTCTTCTCTAGTTGCATAAATAATTCGTTGTGTTCTAAGCAATGAGGGCACCAATCTGAATATAAAATTGCGAAAAATGGTTTGTGTTCCATATCACTGAACAAGTATGGTATATCTCGGTTTGTTAAATTGTATGATGATGTGCAAGCTAAGAAGAAGCTAAGCAAACACATAAAAATTGATTTAAAAACCTGAAGATTTTTAAAATGTTTACAAAATTTTTGTAAAAAAGTGTCAATTATCATTTCATTTTTCATTTTTTGAACTAATATTGATAAGCAATCTGGCCTATAATAGCAGAAGATAACTCTATGTTGCATGGGGTTTATTTTATTTACTTTCAATACCATTGATAACTATCTAATAACATAATTTTGTATGTTCATTTAAAATACATTCTATTTAAAGCGAACACAAACTCTAAATCCTATATCTAACATGTTACCCTTTTGATTATAACGATTTTTGAAGACAACAAATGTAAAATGGTGTTTTTAGATAATGAATTAGGACAAAGTATCATATATATCATCAGTAGAAAGAAAGAAATTTGATAAAAATCATTAACTTTATAGAAAAATGGTATTTGAATATATTTGAATGATATTTTATTACTTATTGAAAAATTTATATTAAAACATAAGCCTTTACTAATATGTTTCAGTCATATTTCGTTAAGGAAATCTTCTTCATAAGTATTCATGATTCTCCAATGCAAATTTAATTGAGATTGAATTCTTCTCTGCATTTTCAAATGATTTTCTTCAACTCTTCCTATTTTATCCATACAGTCATCTAATTCTATCATTAGATCATCCAATTTCCTTTCCATTTCTTCAATATGTCTCTGATAATTTGAATCTTCAATTTCTGGGAAGTTTTTATTGGTTTTTATCTCAATAACTTTTGAGTGAACTTCACTTATAACGTTGACTAAGAAATTTCTATACAAATTAACATAATTCAGCATTTCCTCATAAAGCATGTCAATACTTGCATCTGCAACTGCTGCTGGCATATCAAAGTAATCAATGTTTCTTCTTTTGATGTTTTTCTTTGTTTTTTTTGGTTTCTTTTGTGATTCAAAACTAAAATCTTCTTGAACAAGCGAAAATCCTTCAGGGCTGCATTCTTCAAAGAGTTCATTCGGAGATGAATATGAATCATCTGTTTCATTAAGTTTTTCATCAGATTTATTGTAAAAAAGGGCAATTGATGATCTAGGAGCATTTGTTCGTTTGGTATTGATACTAATTGGAATGTTTTGTTGATTGTTGGATTGTATGAACTGAGAATCAAGGTTATTTAGTAAATTTAAAAAATTATCGTTTGATTGAGTTAATTTCAAACGAATGAGAGTTGAATATTCCTTTGTTATAGGATTTTTCGATGAAATATCTATAAATTTTTGTACTTCTTGCTGTATTTGTAAATCATCGGAAAATATTGTTTCGAATTTATGTTCTTTTAGAGATCTATCGATGAAATTCAGCATTATCATAGCTCTACACTCGTCATATTCGATATTATTTATGAATTTAAGGCCTTCAATGATTTTTGATGTAGAATTGCAAGGAATTATATCAGGCCAATCGATTTGAGACTCTGTAATTTGCGTAAGTATTGACCAAAATGGGGATACGCTTACATTTGGCATAAACTGAATCATAGAAAATAAAGAAGGATATTCCATTTTGAATTAAAAATGAAATTTTGAAATAAAAAGTATCTCGATTTAATAATATATAGATGTGTATTATATGTTCTAATTTTCGGCCAAAACTTTGATGTGTTTTTCGGTTTACAAAATTTTGCGGTTTTTTCTGTTAATTTTATTGGCGCGCCGCGCCGATAGAATTAAGATAATATATATAGAGGACAACACCCGCACTTTTTACATTATGAATCTATAGTAAACACCTTTCTCACAGTCAATATACGATGTATGAGTTACAAAAAAAACTTTTTAAATTTTAATGAGTTGAGGACTTGTTCTGAACTACGAATATATCGGCTCACATATCAAAGATTATATTCCAGAGAATAATCTCTTTAGCACATTCGAAGTAGAAGATATCGAATCAATCATGAATTTTGCGAATTTAACACCTGAGGACTTCAGTTCTCTTCTTACGCAATCTAGTTCTGTCATTTCAGCACGCCAATTGTACACCTGCACTCGAAATGCAAATATTTCAATAAACAACTTACAAGATGCCATTTCAACACTTAAATCAGTTCAAAAGTACATGAAGATGCGAATCCTCGAAGGAATTATTAGCATTTTAGAACAATTACTAAAGGATCAATCCATTTCAACAAATCAAATCGAAAAACATCAAGCAAATTTAGATCAAATCCAAAAAGAAAAAGAAAACAATGAGAAAGAAATACAAACTCTTCACTCTCAACACAAAGAGAAAGAAGAAAACGATTTACCAAAAGAATTTCTTTCGAAAATTTCCAAACTTAAAAATTCCAGAGATTTCATCGAAATCTACAAATTCTTTGAAGAAATTTCAGAAAAAGGAAATCAAAAAATGATGCAAAAAGCATGTGACGAAGAACTTTGGAAAAAACAAAAGGATAATTATTTTGGTACAAATGTACTTCATGAAGCATCTTCAAAAGGAAATCTGAGACTTGTTAAATCTCTCATTGAATGTGGCTGTGACAAAGAAGGTGGTACACCTCTATACTGGGCATCAAGACAAGGTAAACTTGAAGTTGTTAAATATCTTACCTCAGTTGGAGCTAATAAAGAAGCAAAGGATGATGATGGATATACTTCGCTCATTCTGGCATCATATTTTGATAAACTTGAAGTTGTTAAATGTCTTATCTCGGCTGGAGCTAATAAAGAAGCAAAGAATAATGAAGGATTTACACCACTCATTAAGGCATCAGAATATGGTCATCTTGAAGTTGTTAAATATCTTATCTCAGTTGGAGCTAATAAAAGTGCAAAGACTAATGAGGGAAAAACAGCACTTGATTATTCGAAAGGAGAAGTAAGAAAATATTTATTATCAACTGCAAGAAAATAATTTCTTGATATATTTGGTTATTATCTCTCAATCATTGTTGCAAAAGATAAAGTTAAGGGTATAGTAAACTCAAAATTCTAGAGTTTTGAGAGTGCCAATAAACTCTATAGGCCTATATATATCTATATTTTAAAGGAGAGGTTACGCCATAATATTTGATATTATAAATTATTAATTCAAAATAAAAGTAGAAAATGAAACTAATTTTATTCTAACCTATATAAATATATCAATAATCTAAAATGATTATAGTCTGAACTATATTTTACCAGATTATCAAATATAAGAGAAATGAAATAAGGCATAAAAATATCATAGCATAATTATTGGATAAATGCATTAATAAATTATTTATATCATAATGAGAAAAAATCAAAATAAGAAAATGAGCATAATAATAATTTAATTAAAAACAAAAACAATAAATAAAATGTAATTTTCGTTAATCAAAGTCATCAATGTCTTCGTCTTCTGATTCCCATTCGGACTTGAAAACTTGATAATCTCCTCCTGGTACACTCTGAATGGATTTTTTGTATTTGTTCTGTTTTTTAGAACCTTTTGTAACAGTTTTTTGTTTCAATATCATTTTGGAGTAACAATTCTCTTCAAATGATTTGACACAATCTTCTGGAAGTGGGGGAAGATGTAATGCTTTTTGTATATCTCCGAGAAAATGCTCTGGATCATTCCATTCTAAGATTGCAACGTTAACTCTAATGTTAATGTTCTTCCAGGCTCTTGATTTGTCCAAATAGCATGCAATTTTGGAGTTAAACGCTTCATTCATGCAGGTAGATCCAATGGAAGAAACTTTGGAAACTATGGGTGTCCATTTGTGAACCCAGTCATAGAGCATGAATTGAAGTTGGATCGAATTGACACCTTTTTGCCATTCAAAGCATTTGTAATTGTGCGGTTCGCAAAAAGAATGATTGCCTACGTAATGGTAGACACAATTCTCCCACATTTTCGTACGTTTGTCAATATTTTCTTCGGCAAAACATGACCAAAGCCACATACTTAGGCTTGCATTCAGACCCCAGAAAGGTCTCTCTATTTTTTCAATCTTCTGAGTCTTGTCGTTGAAAACTTCAACTGTCTTATGAGAAGCTGAGAACTTTGTAAAATCTTTTGAGATATTTTTTGATACATGACCTGGATCGAATCTTTCAAGATGAGAGACGCCAAATTCTTTAAAGACAGAGACACTTTTGTTATCTCGGTCTTTAATAATCTCTTTAACATCTTTCAAGATATTGTATTTCTTTAATTGCTTCAAGATGATTCGAGTTCCAGCACTTTCCATATTGTTGGAAGCTCCGGAATACTGAGCATGCTGTCTGTTTCCACCAATATGGTTGATGTTCACGCATGCAAGAACTCTTTTTGTGACAGCATCGAGCGCAGTTACTGTACAACTTGGCGAGTTTCGCCTGTGCGTCCATCTTGCATCAATGGATAAGTAACCACTGAAGGACTTTCTCGACAGCATTAGGGAAATACTTTTAAGTCTTCTAATCTTATCGTCACAAAATCTCTGTTGTCTCATGACACCACTCTTCACAGGGGGCTTAGTTCCACAAAGAGAAAGAAAGCGAGCACCTTTTGTATATGGCATTCCGGTCATTATGCAAGCACCAAGCATCTGTCGCGCTGAGAGTCGACGACGTTCGTGGAGTAAAATGTTATGCATTGCCTTTGTTTTCCGTTTTGGGTGAACAATATGGCCCATACAACAAAAAAAAATGAAATCCCGCCAAAAGTGAAAATTGAATAAAAAGTAATAATTAATAAATATATACTATATCATTAGATGAATATTTTGGAATAACATTTTAAAATCGAGGTTTTTCAATGGATAACGGTTCAATCAAAAATTTGACCCCATTTTAGAATCTACATTAAAAATGGAACATTTCTGTCGTTTCAAAATTCCAAAATAACGTTTCTATTCCTCTCAAAAGTAAAAATAAACTTTATTGGGGAAAAAATATTTTTATTTTCCAAAAAAAATGAAAACCTTAAATGCAAATCTAATTTTGATGCTTTTGTTTGTGATTTTTTGGATTTCGAAAAAAATTTGAAAATTCAGACAAGTTACCATTAACACTAATACGTTTCAGCGAGTCGGTCCCATCAGAGAAATTTTCATAAATCGGCGATATAATTTATTATTTCAGCAAAATATTCTCAGATCCAACTAGAATAAGGTCAAATTATACAAATTTAGCAAAGGCTAGTTATCCTACCTATTCAATTAACTTTATTTTAAATAATTCAAGACAATTCTCAAAATTACCTTAATAATCGCGTTCTCTTCGCAAAATGACGATTCATCATTCACTACCAGCATAACTGAGGGCTTGTGCTCACAGAATAATACAGATAATTTACTTATTAATGCAAAATTTAGTACAAAAGGTAATCATAGAAGATACAAAAAAAGTTTCTTTATTTTGATTGCTGATTTTATTTCTTCTAAAACTTACCAAATCTAAAAAATCCAAAATTGAATGCTATTGAATTTCATGTTTATGTAACATATACTATTTATTATATAAGGAATAAAAATTTTATAGTTTTAATCAAAAATAAAGGTGTACTAAATGCATACAAAACAAGGTATTTTTTACTCATCCAAAATATGTTAACGGTGCTATTTATATAATCAATATCCGAATTTCGAAATCATTTTGATGAAATCTTTATTTTAAAATTGAGTTGACTGTTAAAATCACCCGAGAAGAGGGATTATCTCAATGAAAAGTACATAAAATAGCAAACGCACAAGATGGCACTATGCAGCTTTATATTGTTATACAGGATGAACATATAAAATGTTTGGAAAACACTTACTTCGTTCTACAAATGTGTATCTCTTTATATCAAAGATTCTTCTCAAATTATTGAGAGACTTCTCTCAAAAAAAGGAAAATTTGATAACTAAAAAAAATTATGGCATAACCTCTCGTTTTGCATAGATATATATTTACATGGTCACAGAGCTTATTTTCATTGTCAAAACTTAAAAATTTTTAGTGGACTATACCCTTAAACTCCTTTTTTTTATTTAGGTACCCTATTCAATTTCTATCGTCACCATATGGAGAGGTCAGGCCCATATCATAAAACATTAAGTTTGGACTTACTAAGACATGTAAGAATTACCTTGCTTGTATAGGGGCATTAAATACTTTTAGATGCTAAAATCTTCAAAATTAATTTAATTTGATATTCAAAATATGCACGAAAACGTAAATAAATACGGATCTAGCTCTCACATATCTCTATTTTAAGCATTGATAAGTATTTCTACATTCTATTTTAAAAAATATTCAAATTTCACAATATTCTTTTCATTGATAATCTACATATTAACGAGAATGATATAACTTTTCATGTGTTTAGAAGTTCTTAGCTTTAGTACTGTATTGTTGAAAAAATTATTGAAGACTTTTTTCTTTTTGAGAAATTAATGCAATAACCAAAGAGGAATTGCATATGCTGCGCACTAAAATTATAGAAATGTCTCTAATTAGACACAAATAGAGATATTCGGAAATAAAAATTTGAAATTTTGATCAAAAACGCTATTTTCTAATCATTTTTATTTTAACTATATATAAAGTATCTTTTTCTATAATTTATACTTGATGGTTTAAAAGACGTTTAGACTCAAAATTTTACTGCATTTCATGTGGTAACTATGCTTTATCACTAACTACCTCCTTGTTTCAACCCTGAACAATATATTATACCTCCCAATGCAGGTATTACTCCAACAAAATTAGCAATTTGGCTATTGTCTAAAATTTTCTCAAAGAAAGAGGAGTAAAGTCCCATTTTTAGAATTCGAGCTATATTAGAATGCAACTTAGACAAAAGGTTACAGTTTCAATACACATATTCAAAAAAATTGCATTCGAAATTTAAGATAAAGTACAATTTCCAAAAAAGAGTATCGAATCAGTGCACAAATATGCATTTACATGCTTACACTAGCTTGCACTAGTATTAATAATTTTGAAATTAATTTTCAAATTATTACCATACCTTTTGCAAAATTATTATGCTTATGATTCTAAGCATAGTTAAGCGATCTCGAATTTGAATTGCTAAGAAAAAATAATTAGTAAAAAATTTGTCTATGCATTCTGTATGATGCTACTAACTATATTAGCAGCATACCTAAAATCTTTTCAATATTTTTGAGGGAATTTGAATGGTACTGGTTGAGAGCTTTTTTAATTAAGGTACTATTTCGATAGAATTTGAATGGTACCCCTTCAATTTTGTGAGGGACCCCCTTTCATTTTTTGAATAGGGTACCTTAAATGAAAAAAGGACCTTAATATATTACCACGTGATAAGTTTTTATAAAACTCCAATTTCATAAAATGAGTGTGAGACAAGATTTCTATTTTTCTAAAATGATATATAATAAAACTTTATGAGATACAAAAAAAAATTTAATTATTCAAACATTAAATGTATAGATGTAAAACTGACCTCTTCCATAAAAGTTCAACAGTAATTGTTCATTTGCTGTAGCTCTATCCTAACAGCTTTTTCCGAGAATATCTTTTGCAAGCATGTTTGCGCCGTTAATAATTTGAACTTTAACAAGCATCTATCAGGGGAGTCCTGTGGTACTTATCTCTAGTCTCAAAATGATGGCATTAGAAGCGATTTTCTTAATATTTGTCATATAATATTATCATTAATTTTTAAAATTAACATATTTATTTGGTAAAAATAAAAATTCGATATATATTTATCTCTATTACAACATATTTATTTAGATAGGCACCAATTTCCTGGTGAAACTTCTTTCCATTCTTCGATAATATCGCCACCAATCAAAAGTGAGGTTCCAAGTGGACTCCACATAATATTTTTGACTGAATGGACATTATGTTGGATAGGAGTAAGAAGTCTCTCGCTGAAAATGCCATCAACGATGCCAATAATTCCAACTTTATCATTTTCAAAAATAATTGCAGCCAAATCCGCATTACATGGATTTGGTTCGATGGCAACTGGTTTATCAGTAGTTTTGAAAGGTTCCGAGGTAACTTTCTTGTTGAAATTAAAACGCCAAATCATATCATCGTAAACAGCGAATATTGTATCGTTAAGACCAAAGTTGAAGTATTTAAACTTGTTTGGATATGCAAATCTACGAATTGGAAGTAAAGTTGGTTGTTGTTCAAATAATAAATTGAAAATCATGATTTCACCATTTGAAATGCACCCAATGCGTGCCTCTGGTGGATATGGGGATACTCTTAAGCAGCTTGAGAAAGATTTGAAATTTTCGATTTTATAAGTCTTCCAAGCCATGTCTTGACGATATATTGTGAGTGACCCATCCTTTTCTGCAATAATAAAAGCTAATCCAAGTGAAGAAGGAAGAAATTGTGCGTCAATGCAGTCAACATGAAAAGTTGTAAGTACATTTAAGATATTTTTCGATATAGAGTAAACAATAAGATTGCTATCTTCTGTTAATGCCAATGAAAATGAGCAAGAAGGATCAGTACGAGCAAGAATTGTTTTCATCGCAATAAAAAAAATTTTTTTTAGTCTTGAGAATTGAATTGATATCGATTATTTCGAAAAGTGACAAATGATTTTTGTTTTTTTATTTATCTTTTCTGAATCAGTGAAATTACGATCAGCCGGGAAATCAGAAATAAAGAAGGCATATGGCGTCGAAACAGTTAAGTCGGAAGAAGAATCTCTTGTTGAACAATACGATATGAAAATGTTATTCTTCCAAAACGTCAAGAATGCTAAGGATGTTGCTCGCAAAAATGATAACAACCCACTTAAGAAACAAAAATTTATTTCTCCAAAGCAGCAGAAAAGGGATAAAGAAAAAATGGAATTTTTAAAGCGAAAAATAACGATCACAAAATCAGGTGCCGAAAGACCGAAGATTGAATCAATGAAATTAAAAATCAGCAAACAAAAAATTCCGAAAATCGAAATCGCTACGCCTAAACCGATCGTTATTACAAACAAATGATTTTTCAAGGGCATTTTATGATACTCTTAGCTAATAATTACTTAAATGACGAATAAAATTTTATTCTATTCGTTATTTGATTATTCGCGCTAACATCGCTTACAAACTCATTATATAGTTCAACTCAACAATATTTTCATGCTTACTTCAAACATTATTAAACTTTTATTAACATTTTTTTTGTTTTTTGTAATGAATAAAGATAATGTCATATAGTAAACGTATATTTTGTTAATTCTGTGATTATGCATGACATGATTTTAAAAAACAGAGGATTAATTAAGATAGAAAACAAAAAAACAACTTTATTCTTCATCATCCTCTTCTCGTTGAGAAGTAGTAGAATTTTTCGATGCTTCACCTTCTTCATTTTTCGAAGATGATTTATTTTTATATTTATTCATTTTATTTCTACGCATAACTCTATTTTCTTGCTTGTTTCTTTCTCTGATTTCTTCAACTGCAATTTTAGATTTCTCGATATATACATTTCTCTGTTCATCTGTTAGTTCTCTCCACATTTCTCCCATTTTTTTAAATAAATCGCCAAAACCCATATTGGGATTTTCATCTTTGACTTTTGAGCGAACCTCGCTTACAAAGAGGTTGAAAGGAGAAGATCCCATCTTCGCTCAAATCAATAAAAAAAAGCAACAAAAAAATAAAAATTTAAAAAAAATAAAAGGGGATGTCACGTATTCAATTTGAAAATATTGAAATTCGTGATAATAAATAATATATTCGTCTAAAAGAAGTAAAATGATCGCAAAAAAATAATATATTTTACTTATTAATTTTCTATTGGAAATATTCCTGCAAATAAGAAACATCTGTAACAGATGACTTTTCAACTTCGTCAAAGTCCTTGATAAGTGCATCTCTATCACTGTCGGAAGGTTTACAATTGAACGTAAATTTCGCAAGATGTTTAATGAGTTGCGAATTGAACTTATTCATGATTCCATGACGTGAAACAAAGTATTTGTTTGCGTCTTCGTTCTTGTCTGAGCGCTTTGCAGCTTCATCGAGCTCTTTCTGTAGCAAATTAAAGGATTTGAAAATCGAAAGTACTTTCGCGTAAGTTGTCTTGCTCTGTATATGATCTTTGAATATTCTAGCTGGGAACTTCTCCAATAAATAAGAGCCGATATCGAAGGTTGGAGTAACTGTATCTGGAGCCAACGAATCTATCTGCTCCAAAAATGACTCCATCTGGTTATTGAGCAAAATAACACCGTCAGCTGGATCTGTTTGGTACCTGAGATCATCATACATTGAGTGCATTTTATCGGCGGAGTAAATCCATTGATTTAATGGTGTCTCAAATTCCATCTGATCACAGTTCATCTTCTCAATGAAGTCTGCAATTCCGAAATCTTTGATTAATGCACTTACATCTGGGTTTTTCAATTCGGTGAAGTCAGATGCGTGTATGTTTTCAATAAGTTCCGAGATGTGTTGGCTGAGCTGATAAAATTTGTCATATGAAAATTCATAATCTTTTTCGGGTAAACCAGTATTGCTGGAGCAAACTGATCGCATAAAGTTTGTTGATTTTGATATTATTTGCGTGCAGGAGTAGTCTAAGTCGACATAGAGACGGAAAGCTTGGTTTAATTTGTTCGGAAGCTGGAATATCTGTTGTTGTGTGATTGGACAGTGCGGAATTGGATTGAACATTCCCTCAAGAGCTCCTTCCTTATATTCTGGTACGAGCATTTCCTTCTTGAAAACTGCGTTCGTAAACTGATTAACAATTTCATTAGGGGATCCAAGCTGATCGAGAGTGTTATTTTTGCATGCCTCTATAACGCGATTAAAAGCATTTATCCAACAAACCACTTCAACTTCCTGCTCACATACAATATAAAACGCTTTTTCGGGATTTTTAATGTACAATGCAGGCTCCCCTTTTGGCCCACGACCTGTGGATATAACTGTATCGCCAGTAATTTGAAAAGAGCCTTTTTCTCCTTTATATTTTTTCTCGAAATATTTTACTATACCTTTTCCTAAAACAAACCAGCGACGTTTCCAGGATTTAATGATATGGCCTTCTTTAAGTAGCCAGCCTTCCTTAATAATAGGAGTAAATGGTGGCTCACTCATAAAACTCGCAAAATTGAATTAAATGAAATTGATATCAAATTTAAAATAAAAATATGAACATTAAGTCTTATAATAAATTGTAAATAAAATGTGATGTGAGAAATTTTTTGTTAAAAGTCAAATCAAATTGAATTAAATAATTTTAATTTAGAATTTGAATAGACAACACAAATATTTAACTGATTGCCGAACAACCATACTCACTTTTGTCAAAATAATTCAAACAGAAAATAATAAAAATGAGTGAAATATATTCACTGATAGCATGTAATTCATGCCCTGGTTTCAATTGAAATTTAAATGCAACTACTTTTTTCATAATTTTGTTCATGTTTGTGCCATATATTTTATACAATCAAAATTCAGTGTGGGAATAAATTTGATCTGAAAGTTTCAGAAATACTGAATTATTTTCATTTTTAATAATCCACTATTACCGATTTAAATTAATTTTATATAAATTGAAACACTTTTCAATCTTATTTATTTCAAAAATTTATTGACTAAATATGTATTGATGTCAAATATTCTTTAATATATTTACCATGGAAAAATTAAAGTACTCACAAAATGTAGATTGAGAGGCGGTCAATGACTTTTGAGGGGAAATTAACGCATGGAATTTAATATTATTTAGGTTGATATTCTTGCTTATTATTTCAGAAAAAAATCTTAAAAATTTCAATATGAAAATTGAAAGCAATTCAAAAAAATTGCTAACATGTAAATTTTAATATCCTATGCATAATTTCATATTTTGAACATTTTTTATTTTTGTTTAAAACTTAAAATTTTGCGAATTTAATATAATTTATAAAATATAATACGTATATATATTTAAAATACACTAAATTTAATTGTTAATTGACGTTTTTGGGAATGAATTTTATCAAAACATGCCTGAATCCGAAAATTTGAAAGAACGAATTACACAATCATATATGTAGAATTCAAAATACAAACTTAAAGATTGTATACGTTTAAAATTATTCAGATTGTGTTTGATTTCCACTCATTCTGTTTCTTTTGAACTCTAACACTAACATTTCATGATGATTACATGATCCATTTATACATGGTTGAATTGTTCCAGATTCTACCAGAAAATCAATCCAAATTTCTCAAAGCATTCATGTTGATTGGACAAAATTTAAAATTTATCAGCCTGTTTCCAGAGAAACTCATATATTCCCTAATGAAATGTAATTTTTGCTACATTTATTTCAATCAAATTTCAAAAAATTGACTGCAGAGCTTGAAAAGGTGATGAATCATGTTGTTATTAGATGTACATATTAGATTTACTATTTCCAAAAAATGCTCAAATTTGAATAGTTTTTAGAAAATTTGGAATTACACTCCTGACATTATATATAATTAAATGTTTAAATTTTATTTATTTTTCCCTTTTAATTTTATAACGTGCTCTATCAAAACTAACCTCTCAATTGAAGGCCACAAAATCTAAGTAGTGAGGGTACACAAATTTTGTATGGAGTACGGTTCAATTTTTGAGAGCCTCACTACTTAGATTTTGTGACTACCTTATATTTATTTTGATCAATCTTAATCGGAATTCTGGTATTTTATATATGTAGTAAATAGAATATGATAATATAAATTTCATGAAAGATTTATGTAAATATCACAATTCAATTGAGAGATTTCCGAACAAAAATTCACGATTATTTACCATTTTGAAAGGTAATAAAAAAAATTGATAATTATCGAGGCTAATAGGAAAATTAATTGAATCAATTCAAAATTAATAAATTTGATTCTTTAACAGCAGAATTTGTCCATCAGCGTTTCACATCTTGACTCAAATGTATGAATTGCAATCTGCTTAGTCATTAATTCAATCGTTTTAATGATTTAAAGCTAACATATCATTATGCAGCTTTGATTCAAGAATTTCCAATCAATATTATTTTATTCAACTAATTAATCAAGTTTCATAATACATATTTTATGCTATTACATGGACATCATTTTTTTAGTCCCAAAAACTATAGAGTTATCAATAACGATCTTCAAATATCGTAATCCTTTCAAATTCGTTTCACATTATATATTAAAATCATTTATCTATTCTTGTCTCCTATCAAAACATTGGATTTCTGTTATCTTTTCTGGATTTATCTCTAAAAAATCTATTAAAACTGCTTTTATAACTAAACACTCTAAATATTGAGATTACACTAATGTACGTTTTTTCGTTAAATCATACACTTCAATTGAATATTGTTGTAATAAATTTCTTAATTTTTTTTTGTTTTTGAGATGATTTCCAAAGGCTTTTTGACATGACTAGAAAAATCATATGTATTAACGAAGATTGAATTATTGGAATTTTACATTTTCTGAGTATTTTTTGATTAAATTTGAAATTCAGAAATGATTAAATGCATAAATCATTATAGTTTATAACGGAGAGTACATATAATAATCCTTAACATATTTAACAATCAAATTCAAGAATAAAAAATTAAATAACAATTAAATTCACATAAATTATACTTAAATCCAACTATACCACCATGATATAGTGATATTCTATATCATGAAATCTCCAAAAAAAATTCAAAATCATAATTATAGAATAAAATTTCAAGCAAATTTACACTTAATTTTTAAAATTCAAAAAAAATTTGGATATTTTTGCAGAAATTTAAAACGATAAATCATTGTTATTTTTAGTATTAATACCAAATATATCATTAAATTCACCATATTGATTATATGAAAATAAAATTAAAAAGATTGGTGTATTATTGCAAAAAATCTTTAGAAAAATGAATCAATAAAGATAAAAAATTTAACCTCAAATCGAATTATCTGCTAATCATTATTATGTTTTAACAATTTGACAGAATTGTTCAAATCCTGGACATATTTCCCAAAATGAAAGTAATATCGGACAATTCAATCTTTTTACAAATGTGCATTTACTCTATATGTATAGCAAAACAAATTCTTGTTATGTTTCAAAGCTTAAGTGCAAAAAGTCTGCCCCATATCTATATATTCACGACATTCTTTTGAGCATTCTTAGACCTTTTTTGTAGGCATAATATATTTTTCTTTTAATATCGTGATAACAATGACAGTGTGGACTACACCTGATAAAATAATGCAACAACAATCAGCAGAAAGGCGTTCTTAATGAATTTTTTATATAACGATGAGGAAAAAATGAAAATCGGGCATGAATCATACATACACTGGCTATAATATGAACGAAATGACTAATGCCTGCGTCGAAAGAGTAATTCAACCAATTGATCACAAAAGATGAAGTGACTACTTTCCAAACATTTATAGATCTTTCAATTTTTTAATCAGCCGAACAATTTAAAGGACAATTTATGTAGTTTTCGAAATGTGAGTGAAATAACAAGCCGACCAACTAAACAAATTTTTCATCGAAGGTTTCAAATTTAATGATTTTAACTATATTAACCTAAATATGTTTTAAAGTGAGGCAATAAAAATAATGTAAACTTCACAATCTCGGATCACAAAAGATAAAAACCATTCAAATAATTGAGACATTTTATAAAGAAAAATTGAGATACCACGAATATCGTTCTCATATTCACTTTCATATAATGCTTGTTGGCAAACCAGCTCCAGCATTCAGGGCCAAGCTGTCTTCCCAGACACAGACTTCAAGGAAGTTTCTCTTGAGCAGTACAAGGGCAAGTGGCTCGTCCTCTTCTCATACCCACTCGATTCACATTCGTCTGCCCAACAGAAATCATCGAGTTCTCCAACAAGTACGAAGAATTCAAGAAGATCGGCTGCGAAGTCCTCGGCTTATCCGTTGACTCCGTCTTCACACACCTTGCTTGGATCAACACACCACGCAAGGAAGGTGGCCTCGGCGAAATCAAGTACCCACTTATCGGCGATCTCGGCGCTAAGATCGCTAAGGAATACGGCTTCTACATGTGCGAGGCCGGCCACACACTCCGTGGTACAGCTATCATTGACCCAGAGGGCATCATCCGCCACGTCCAGATGAACCCCAGATGTTGGCCGTAACGTCGATTGAAATCCTCCGCCTATCAAGGCTTACCAGTTCGCTGCTAAGCACGGCGAAGTTTTGCCCAGCTCAGTGGCACGGTGAGGGCGACCTTACAATCAAGCCAATCCAAAGGCCTCTAAGGAATACTTCGGAAAGGCTAACAACTAAGCTTTCTATTTAAAAATTATTAAGGTCTGATTGATGTAACTTTTAATCTTTTTTCTAAAACTTTACAACCAACAATAATAACTTATAGCAATCTTAAATTCTTCATAATACATTTTCTCTTTGATCATATCCAATATCATTTAAGAAAAATCCACCAATATTTAAGATAAATCGAATTTACAGAGAACAAACTCATAATAATTATAACCATTAAAGATTTGAAGCTGATTCAACCGTAAATATTGTAAACGAAACACCGGATTGGATTTTTGATCGTGTGATCCAATTGATTTCAATTAACAACTTGTATACAATAAAAAATACTCTTTATCCTAACAATTCTTACATCAAAATCATCAAGGTTGAATTGTTAGGGAAATCACACAAAATAATCTTAAAATTCACTTAAAATACGTAACTCGTATGTACATGATACTATTTAATATTCAAACAATATATAAAATGATAAAATTATCCCCAAAAGAAAACTCTATTGGTTGATCTGATAAAGCTAGTATTATCCGGAGGTAATCTTCTAGCTCTTTGTAAGTCGATAGTTCTACCATTTGGTAAGGATTCTGCTGATTGAATGTATTCATCGTTTCTGGAATCTATAACATGCTCAATAACTTTGTAATCATGGAAACGTTTACTGAAAGCTTTTGTTTCCTTTTTTGGTGGATGAAATTCTCGATGTAATTGATTTTGTTCTACGCGGTAGTTTCTTTGAATCTGTTTAGATGCTAGTTCTTTTTGTCGTTTCAATGAAGAGTTCAATGCACGCTTTTGAACTGTATATTGT